GAATAAGGGATAACCAAATGAACAGTAAACTGTTAATAGTTCTTTCTACCTATCGAGAATCGAATACTTCCGCTGTAAATTGTGAAGTCTCATCGCTCGTTCGGGCAAACTTCCGGAGCGCAGTCCCAAAGAAAAAATATGAAAATATTTTAGCCCGTTACTTTAGTCTTAACGTCGGTATATGCTTTGAGATATTTATCGTGATTGAAGTATGTCCATCAATTCGATGGAGTCACCTTGTCATCGAGACGGTCTTCTCTTTCCTATTGGACTACGACTTGTAGTCATTTTCAATCCTACAAATTATAACCCCGATGGATAACATGTTATTCTCGTTCTTTGTCAATTAGACACTGCCCTGGTAAGGAACATTCGGTATCACTACCATTTTGCACCCCCAAAAGTCTCGAATCAACAATTTCATTTCAGTCCATATAGGACAGTGTTTTTATAATAGTATGTTTCAAACTTCTTTCGAATCCTATTTGTTTTATAGATTGAACTCGGGTCTCTCTTTTGCAAAGCTAAAAACAAAGAGACATTATCTATGAGTCTCGGCATATAGACCAACCTACGATTTTTTTCTTAAAGTCACCGCAAACCACCACTTTTTTTTTTTTTTAAGCAATGAGTAAAGCTTTCAGGAAAGTTATTTTAAAGACTATTGACCATAAATTATTTGGTGATAATGAACCGTTTTCGACTGAGTTCTGAACCTGATTAAAGTCCGATTGATTCAAATATATTCGTAATTGAATTCATATTCATTTCGATAATGAAATCGTGAACGTACATGCAGATATATCTTTGAAAAACGACTTACGTAAAATCTTGAAATCCTGCAGTGCAATTTTGGTCATGAAATCTCAAATACACATGCGGATATAACTTTGAAAAAGGGCTAAGTAAAAATATCAAAATTTCAAAATGCGATTTGGATTACGAAATCTCAAACGCGTGTGATAATACAACTTCGAAAAACGGTGATGTAAGATCATGAAATCCTAAAGTGCAATTTCAGTAACGAAATCTCGAACATACATGTGGATACGACTTAAAAAAGTTGCTATGTAAAATCTAAAAATCCCAAAGTGTGATTTGATAATGAATTCTCAAATACACGTACGAATATAACTTCGAAAAACGACTAACGAAACCTCAAACGCACATGCGGATATATCTTCGACAAAAGCCCAAGTAAGATCCCGAAGTGTGATTTCGGTAACGAAATTCTTAAGACATGTGTGAATATGACTTTAAAAAATGATTTAGTTAAATTCGAGTAACGTAAAATTAAAAATACCAAAGTATGATTTCGGTAACAAAATCTCAAACGCATGTGTTGGTATAACTTTGAAACATAGTTAAGTAAAACCTTAAAATCCCGAAGGATGATTTCGAGAACAAAATCCTGAACGCACGTGCTCTTAAACACACGTACAAAACGGTTAAGTAAAATCATGAAATCATGAAGTGTGATTTCGGTAACGAAATATCAAATATACATGTAAATATATCTTTAGCCAAAGACTAAGTAAAATCGTAAAATCCCGAATGTGATTTCGGTAACGAACTCTCAAACACACATGCAAATATAACTTCAGAAAACGACCAAGTAAGTTTCTGAAATCCCGAAGTGCAACAAAAAGTTTCGTTTAATTAAAGAATCATTCTTTAGTAAAATTACATTTTAATTTTTAATTTTTCATTCCATCTTAAAAAATGTCATTCCACTTTTGGAAATTTTCGTCTTATTTGAAAAATTTCATTCAAAGAATGGGGTGTCCCTTGTTATTTGAACTGGGGATAAAATGAAAGTCTGAATAAGTTTATTAAATATATAAATTGAAATGTCATTCTGTATAAGGATTTTTAATCATGAATGGGTTAATCCAATCTAAATTATAAGATATCTGTTTTCGTAGAATGAAAGTTTCATTAAGACATTTCGTAACCTCGTCTTGGCTTCAATTCCATCTTGAACAAATAAATATAATTGAAAGGGAAAACTCGTTTTTAGAAGATAATTTATTAAACAAAAATAAAAAAATTAAAATTTGACGAACATTGGAATAACGATATTTAAATATTAAGGTTTTTTTTTAATAAAATATTTTTCTCAACTTATATTTCTTGTGAGATTTTTTTTTGTGTGTGGTTTCGGTAACGAAATCCTGAACGCACTTGCGGATATAACTTTGAAAAATAACTAAGTAAAATCTCGAACTCCCAAAGTGCGATTTTGGTAACGAAATTTCAAACGTACGAGTCGATACAACTTCGAAAAACGGCTAAGGAAATATTAAAGTGCGATTTTGATCAAGAGTTTTCGAACGTATGTGCGGATATAACTTCAATTTTTTTAAAAGTAAAATCTTGAAATCCCAAAGTGTAATTTCAATTGCGAAATTACGAACGTACGTGGGAAAAAAAACAACAACAATGAGTGATGGATGACCAAGTGGTTATGGCACCGGTTGAAAATGCACATTGAGATCCAATGTTGCAGACTTTAAACCCCGCAGCCTCGTGCATAAACCATCGGTTGAGAGTTAGGTTTACACATTACCACTCGTACACTGAGTGCGTTTGCGACTAGGGAACACGAATGTACATAGCGCATAAACTTAACCTAGGTTCACCTGAGAGGGTGTCCAACAAATACTAACCCCTCGTAGTATATTCATGGATCGTCTGGAACGACAAACGCGTACCTTCATGTGGAGTTGCTGGAGGTCATGGAGGAAGATGGCTCGGGGAGGGGCAGACTCGGTGCGGATGAGTATGAGAGGAGTAAAGGGTTCACCTTCTACCTAGCATGAGTAACTCTCATCCCCACAACATCTGGTGGTTGCGGTGCATTGGTCATCGACCCTAGTTCCTCGCGGATGCAAGACCCTGAGTTCGAAGGGGTGCATTGCTGACGCAACAATCTAGTAGCTCCAATCCAGGCTGATGCTTTGACGTGAGTAGCAAGATCTCTCTTCTCCCCATACCCTGAAAGTCTCGGTTTTGAGTGATTTCTGAGTGAGCGGGTTGGCTCGTTGTGCTGGTAGGTGGGATGAAACCGGTGCATGAAGCCCCTTGCCAGACTTCTTCCTGGAGTCATATCCCCGACACCCAAAAAATTTTTTGATAACTTTGAATTTTGAAAAATGGCTATGTAAAATCATGAAATCCGAAAGTGCGATTTCGGTGATGAAATCTTGAACGCACGTGTATATATAACTTCGAAAAACGACTAAGTTAAAATCCAAAATCCCGAAATGCGATTTCGATAACGAAATTGTTAACGCACGTGCGAATATAACTTCAAAAAATGACTAAGTAAAATCCCAACATCCCGAAGTGCGATTTGGGTAACGAAATCCCAAATGCATGTGCAAATATAACTTTGAAAATGAACCCTTGAACACAAAGTGCGATTTCGATAATGAAACCTTGAATATACAAACGAATATAACTTCGAAAATCATTAAGTTATGACTTCAAGATAAACTTTAAAGAGTTGCTAATCACTTGAAGGAACATTTTGGGGAAAAAAACAGGAATTCACAAACATAGATTCCGTCTCCACCAACACAAAACACGAATTCGGGTTTAAAAACCATGAATTCGCTAACGTTTCGCAAATAAGCTTCATTGTCTAATTCGACGAATTTTCGGGGTGTATTGACCATGAGTGCAAAACTACTAGTAGCAGAGAGTCATTTCACAAAAAAATAGCGAATCCAACAACTTCAATGATCGGAAGATAACTGTGATGATGCACAAAACATGAAAGTTGTAGCTCAAGAAATTCAAGATCCAGAAAACCACTTGTGAACCCACATGGATTATAGGTGGCAGGGGGCAAAAAACATCACATGGAAGAGACGATGGATGCAAGATTTCTTCCAATGACTAGGGTTCGCGCAGGGAGAACGATTATTGAAGCTTTGTCTCATCCAATGACTAGGGTTCGCGTAGGGAGGACGATTATTAAAGCTTTGTCTCATCAGTAGTACTTGGCCCAGCTATCGACTGCTGGGGTATATAAAAAGTAGAAACGTTTCTGGTCGGATGAATTGGGGCACTCCTGTAGTAGCCCGTACGTTTCCTAAAATCGTGGCGCGTTAACAGGCATCACTCTAGGAAGTACTAGTGGTTTAAAGAGTTATTCTCGTCAGAAAATGGAGATGTGCCCAAAAATCAGCACAATGTTGAAATAGATGAATTATTGCAACCATTGACTAAGGCATGCCAGAAGAGTAAAAAGAGTTATTGGAGAAGCCGTTAAACCACCAGTACTTCCTAAAGTCGCGTAGCGTTAACGCTACGCAATTTTAGGAAACGTACGGGCCACTACAGGAGCGCCCAAATTCATCCAACTAGAAACATTTCTACTCTATTGTTTTCCGCGGCCAATAGATGGGCCAAGTACTGGTGGTTTAACTGAAGAAGAAATATGGACAACCCTGTTTTTTTTTTGTTTTTTTTTTTTTCACCTTTCACTATCTACCTACCACTACTCCTAAGTCTATACAAAGGACCCCTGCAAGCATAGCTACCTCTCACACCCCCGTCCTAATCGGCGGTGGTCAGGGAGTAGGGTGGGGCAGTTGGGGGGGGAGGGGGAGGAGAGGGAGCAGCTAACGCAAAAATCAAGCATTTTGCAAGCAGCTGGGCCTCCCATCTACTTCCCCCACTCCCCAATGTCAACTGCGGCAAGTACCAGAAAACAAGACACGGCAGGAACCAGGCTCGGCAAAACTCAGTGCGCGGTGAAATTCAGGCTCGGCAAAGACAGGCTCGGAGGTACTAGCTCAACCAAGTCTATTACCTGTCGAACCGCAGCTGAGGGAAAAAACAAAAGAAGGCGGAGTAGTTCGCACATGGCCTCCATTGTCGAGCAGTTTTCGCATATCGGCGCAACCATCATCACGGTATTGGTGCGATGAAGAAAGCTTGTGTACGGTCGTGATGGTGGCGCGTCGTGTTCGGGGTTACTCGAGCACTTGGCGTTTTTTCACTATGATTCGAAAATGATCATCTTGATTTTGGCGCTCGGTAGTACCGCCGCTGAGTCCTCGTGAGCAGCTGACCATTCTTTTTCAGCAGTTCGAACTCATCCTCATCATGCTCTTTTTTTCCACGTCGAGAGGAGTGGAGGGAGATCCCGTTGCTCCATCTGTCCGCGATTTCGCTGCACGTCCAGAAGTCGCCACGCTTTGAGGATCTTTTTTCGTTCTTTGCAATTACCGTCGGTCACCGTCGATCGGTCACCGTCGATCGGCGGGAGAATGATGCTAACGATGACGTCAGTGGCGCTGCCGACGAGCAGCGCCATAGCGTCAACATGCTGTGAGCGCGCGCCGGGTAGTTTCCCGCCCACGTCCGCAGTCCCTGAATGTCCCGCGGTGAACCAGACATGGCAGAAAGCCACTGTGAGGGAATGCGCACGGGCGCGCAGCGCAGCGGAAGTTTCCCCGCGGCCGGTTCACCTGAGGTCGTCTTTTCTCCCTTCTCCCGCCGCTGGCGAATCAGGGCAATTCACTCGGCGGGAGGGCGGCATTTCCTCCTCGCGGACTGCTTTCCGCCGCCATAGCTGCCGTTCTTCCTCGTTTTGTACAGATCTTTCTTGCGTTTCTACTTCTTCTTCTTCCTCAGTGCCTGCGGCGGGGKCGTGTTCCTTTCCTGCTGCTGTTGATGGCATAGCACTCCGACGAAGTTTAGGCGCTGCGCGCAGGGAGAGGGGGAAGCTCGCTATCATCCGAGGTGGGTCAGGCATGGCGCGCGCCGAGAAAACAACTGAGGTTGCTGACGCGGCCGCCGCTGTCCAACCCCACTTGTTCTCCTATCCGGACGGTGTGAGCAATGCGTCTCTCTCGGAGTTCGCATCAATGGATGAGTTGTCATTAGCTCTGGCTACATACATCACGGAACTGTCGAGCAACGCGATCAAGGAAAGGGGCTCCTTCACCGTCGTGCTCTCTGGCGGCTCGCTGGTCAAGGTACTACTGCTTCTGCCATGAACTTTCCTTCTTTCTTCTTTCAAATAGACGGGTCCTTCCTTCTCTGCAATGGAACTCTAATACTATATGATCTGACTTCCCTCGTCACACCCCGTGCAGTGATGAATGTACAAATAATCAGGTGTTGAGTGTCCAACTCTCTCACACACACCCACACACCCAC